CACCACTTTGCAGGGCTGCCAGATGGGTGTTACTTAACCTTGAGCCTCACACTTATGGTTTTTTAGTGACAGGGTGGGGGGGGGGGGTCTGGTAAACCGGTGTCACCATCCCTTTGAATGGCTACCCTCAGGTGACCCCTGCGAAAGTCGCTGCGGTTAGACGTCTATCAGCTTATTTCTTGGAAGTGAGGTGCTGAAGTGTCCCAGAGCGCCTCACGTTGGGGTTTCCAGTAAAGCGTCATATTTCCAGCGCTGGGGGGGGGATGACCTCTTAATTCTCAGGATCAGTCGCTTTTCCCCGTTTGGATAATGTAACACACCTGGAGTGGAGGAGACGCCCCCAGTGGCCGGAGGGTGGGACTACACCACCTAGGTATAACCCGTCAAGATGACCAGTGGCCCTCCTGTATCTCACTGGGAGTGGGGGGGGCGGACTGCTCCCAAGGACCATACTCCCCCCTCCCTCGTCTCCCCTTTGCCAGTTTCCCAACCGTTCTGTGACCTGGCTTCCCCTGTAATCTCGCCAGCATAGGAATTCTTCAAGCTTGCAGTTCTGGTCATGAAATAAAGAAGTACTCCTGCCCAGATGGAGCGTTTGGCCCATTTCGACATTAATCAGTAATAAATACTAAAGGGATTTTGCCTTGTGATTCGGCCAGTGACTCACAGGCTGTGTGTGGCTGTATGTTAGTGTGAGTGCCCTTTGGTGAGGTATGATGTGATTGTGTGTGTAGAGTAAGGCTCTGTCGACTTGGCAGCAGAGGATGGGTGAAGCTTTAACACTGTCTCTCTCCCTCCCCCCTTTCTTTTTTGGATCCGCGACAGAATGAGGTAACCCCCCAGAGACACGGCCATGCTGGGGCCCTGGCATGCCTTGTGTGCGTGTGTGTGTGTGTGTGCGCGTGCGTGCGTGCGTGCGTGCGTGTGTGTATACAGATCCGCCATATGAACCGGCTGATACCGCGAGTCTCCTCGAGATGTGGCCTGGTTCACACATGTCCAGGGTGTGTGTCAGGGTGTGGTTGACGTGTAGATGACGTGTAGATGACGTGTAGATGACGTGTAGATGACGTGCGAGTGAGTGGCAGACACACCTTCCGGCCTTCCTGTGCGTCTCCACATGTGTTCATTTGTCTTTCCCTTGGATCTGGGAAAGACTTTCTGTCCTTTCTGCTGTTTTCATCCTTATGAAGCAGCTTCTCAGCCTGTGCTTGCACACCACACTGGGTATGACTGTGGTTCTTGCATGAACGCATTTATCCATCGTCCTTTTTTGCATGTGCCGTCACGTCCGTTTTCTTCCTCTAGGGGGCTCTCAGCCCGGTGTGGGGCTGCTCGGGTCTGGGAGGCCCTCTGTCCCTCCCCATCTCCCTGACACCCGTTTCTTTCTGTCCATCTCTGGTTGAGCAGAAGATAGCTCAGGAGCGAGAGAAGTTTGCAGATGAAGACAGCATCTTCTACAAACTGGGGGAGTGTGGCCTCATCTCCTTCTCAGACTACATATTCCTCACTACGGTACTCTCCAGTGAGTATCTGCGCGCGCGCGCGTGTGTGTGTGGATTATGTTTATATTATATTGTGGGGACCAAATGTTCCCAACTGTGATAAAAACCTGTTATGTTGATGTTATGAGGACAATTTTTCAGGTCTCCACAAAGATCTGTGAATGAAATCAAATAACTCAAAATGCCAAAAGTCTCATATTTCGTTTGGTTACTTATGGTTAAGGTTAGGGCTGGGTAGGGGTTAAGGTCATCATGTTGGGATCTGAGTTTTCCCCATAGAAATGTGTGGAGTCTCCACAAAGATATAATTACAAGCCTGTGTGTGTGTGAGGGACCATCTTTGTGGTGTGGTTCTTATTGGCCCACTCTGAGTGCTTTGTACATTACTTATAATTTCGTATGTCAACATTCAGTATTATCAGAGGGAGTTGGTATTTAATGCCAAACACCAGCATAAGTATAGCTGGTGTCCATACAAATAAATATGGTTTATTTGTGCTTTGGGTCATTTCACGTAGCACAAATTACACGTAGTGTTTTGTGTAATAGTGTAGCCTGTGTTTTGCCCGGTGTAGCCGTTTATGTATTCTCTCTTATGGTCTGTAATGTCTTACAAGAGGCATTTGTGTTTTGTTTAATCTTATTTGGTGGGGAGTGATAAACATCAGCGTTAAGAGATCTGGGGGCTGGCTGGATTGTTTGGGGGTTAAGTCAAAGGAGCGGCCTTGCAGGGAATTAAAAAAAGAAATCCCCCCTGTTCCTCTGACAGAATAAGGCCTGTTTGGATTGTCCCCTTGAGCTGCAGCTCATCCAACAAGCGCTGAAGTTTCATTCCCCACTTTAGTCTGGCATTTCAGGTTATGAGGAAACTTGAATTCTTTCCTGGGCATTGAGTCAGAGAACTCAGGTTCTGTGGGGTGGCGTGTTTCCAAGGCCAATATGTCTATAATCTTCATGTGTACATACTCTCCCTCAATATACTACTCTTGCAAATACTACCTGTAAAATCTAATTCCATATATACTGTGTGTGTGTGTGTGTGTGTGTGTGTGTGTGTGTGTGTGTAAAATTCTCATTTGTATGCCTTCTTGTACCTTACTATCTATTGCATTTTAACATACTATTTGCATCCATTGTGTACCTTACTCTACTGTTTGCCCTTTCTGGGTAAAACCTGGATGTAATAGTATGGTACAACATTTTGTTGTACCTCTTCAATGAAGGTAAAGCTGAATCTAATCTAATCTCACATGGCCATTAGCCGCCCCCCCCCCAGCCTGTCTGTGATGAGTAGTTTGCAGGAGTAACCAGGTCTCTAACCACAGCAAGGGGGCAAATAAAATGACTATCCATTTTCCATAATCGGTTACCCAGTACAGGGTTAGGGGGAGCCTGGGCCCCCCCCCCCCAGATAGCACACATGTACACACACAAGCACGAACACACAAATGCAATCACACACTAAGGTTATTGGGATTTTGATGACGTCATTAATTTGGATGATGTCATTCCGGTATCTTGTCTTCGTATGAATTACACGATATTATTAGCATTGTGATTGTTATTAATAGTTTATTTACTGGTCTGTGTACCATCTGCTTGCGGCCCCTTGGACAGTAACCAGGCGACGTTCTTGGCCACTATGAGCTGTCAGTCACTCTCTGTCTCTCGCTGTTGCAAAGCTCCTCAGAGGAACTTCGAGATCGCCTTCAAGATGTTCGACCTGAACGGCGATGGGGAGGTGGACATGGAGGAGTTTGAGCAGGTATCACCGGCTTAGTTTCTCTCCTCTGCCGTCACAACGATGGTGGCAGCTCTCCTTCTCAGCGCTGGGCATGGTACCCACCCTGTCCGCAAGTCACTTAATCCTGTATCCCATAATCCCTGGTTCGATTTATTAAGTTTGTCCCAAGGTTTTGATACACTAAACAGGACTGGGTTAGACAGACTGATCGTTCCCTCTAAGCTGTAGAAAAACTTCCCGACTTTGGCTGACTTTCTGTTCCTCTTCTCCCTCATTCACTCTCATCCTCTTTCATTCATTCTCATCCTCTTGTTTTTTATTTCTCCATTTCATCCTCTTTCTTTTAGTTTTCTGTTTAGTTTAGGAAGTTTCATATGATCAAAGTACGTTTGTGGCAAATTCAGCTGTAACTGCACTCATTTTTGTTGAAGAACCAAATAGCTCAAATACATTTCTGAAAAGCGACCTTTCCGCTGTTGGCTGCTTCTACTGCCCCCTGCAGGTGCAGAGCATAATCCGCTCTCAGACCAGCATGGGCATGCGCCACCGCGACCGCTCCACCACGGGCAACACGCTCAAGACGGGGGGCTGCAGCTCAGCCCTCACCACCTACTTCTTCGGGGAGGACCTGAAGGGTAAACTGACCATCAGCAGCTTCCTGGAATTCCAGAGGAAACTGCAGCACGACGTCCTGAAGCTGGAGGTGAGTGTTGGGGGTGCGTTTCATGCCAGAAGGGAATCTGCTCCCTACTCTGTTTTACTGCTCCTTCAAATGGCCATAATTCTCCCAGAATGGGCTCCCGCATTGATGTTAATAGAGTTTGGTATATCATGTTGCAGGGGAATTTGGCCCAGTCCTGTTGGTCTTTGTTATTGCAGGGCCTTAATTCATTTCTACATCCTGCAGTTTCAGTCGATAGTGTTCCTTAATTCAGCAGGAATGCTATTCTTTATATTTTCGCACAATAAAAGCCAGCTGGTCACAGCCCCACCCTCTCATAGTGTGTGAAATCCACCAAGGGGGCCAACTTGGGTCGGTCCTGCATTTCCTACCCCTCATTTCCATGGCCCAAGTGCAGGGCATATTTCTGGAACCTCGGTGTCTCTCCTTGGGGGTTCTGGGCATCGCGCCTGTTTCCTAAGTTTTGTTTGAGGGAACCAGCTGTGAATTTGAACCGAAAAAAGTTGTTGCTGCACTATATTATGTCAGGGGGGGAGATTCTGTTAGTTATCGATCTGTTCCGTACGTCACGGTTCACATATTTTACGGAGCCATTATTCACTGTGGGTCTGAGGGACCCTAATCGGCCCCAAACTGTGGTAGTGGGTAAAAGCTCTGCAAGAACAAAGGGCCCAGGAAGTCTCGACAGTTGTGTTCTGTCAGACGCAGAACGGGAAAGTGACAACCGCACAGAAGTATGGGAGAGCTGGACTGAGGGTGAACAGAAGCATATGCTGATCAGGGATTTTTCTCATCAGAACGTGCAGAGTAGTAATAGTTGTGTTCTGTGATTGTGCTGTTTTTCGGGAAACAGCGATCGTGTTACACACACCCTCGGGGAAGTGGACCGGGTTAAGTGGCCCATTCAAATGACAGCTTGACGTGGGTGAGACGGTCGCAGTAACGATACTGTCAGTGTGTGCAGCTCAATTTCGTGGGGGATGGGGAGGGGGGTTCTGTGTAATGACAGAAGTAGCAGAGATGATGACAATCTGGATCCTACACATGCACACACATACAGACATACAGACACACAAATACACACACACACACATACAGACACACAAATACACACGCACACACACACACACACATACCTCTTCTAGTAATGCGCTCTGCTACGAAGCTCCCCTGCTGTTTGCCTGCAGCAGTAATTCTGGAATTGCATCCTTCTTTTGGTGCGGGAATTTAATTTGCTATTACAATCTCTCCCAGTGGCACTTCGCTCTTACCCTGCAGGTCTGGCCCCTGCTAACCCCCCCCCCCCACCCTGAAGTAATCCCACTCCGCTCACCCCTCAGCCATTTCAAATCCCATCGCCAGAGCACCACGAAATCACGGATATCATAGTGCATCTGAAAAGCACCCTGGCAGTGTCCTGTAATCAGGTCCCTACCAAAGGCCATTCACAGCAGGATCCCTGGTGGCACTGCCCAGCGGATTGGCGCCTAAGACCGTGCCCTCTGTCCGGTGTGCGGGTGCCTTTCTTAGGTGGGTGTCGGCCATGGAATGCGAGTGAGCCGGAGTTAATCGCAGAAAATGAATGCCGTCGTTCCTCAAGAGTCCTTGACATTCTTTAATACACCTATAATCAAAGTGGCAGAATTATAAATTGTAAGTGAAAGGTCAAAAAATTAGTTTTTCTGGAATGTAGGGTTTATGTCTGTTTGCGTCCTGTCGTCCATGCCATGTTTAACTTATTCTGCAGCTGGAAAACACAGCTGTGAATGAGGGGGGGGGGGCAGCTCATGCTGTCAACAGGCGCATCTATCCAGGCAAATCCTCCAGCCTTCAGTCACTCTGACATGTCACCCCATGGTCATTTAAGCATGTGTCACTTGTTCTGTTTCTGGTCACCGCTGAAAGCGTCCATGAATATGGTTGCTCCACACGGTGGCGCTCACGCGCAGCTACCATGTGCCTATCACTCGAGGCCCTGCTGTCCGCCCCTGGCAGAGCGACTCAGTGATGCATAGGTGCTGACAGGCTCCTCTTACTTGCCGCAGTTCGAGCGCAACGACCCCGCGGACGGACACATCACGGAGAGACAGTTTGGCGGGATGCTGCTGGCCTACAGCGGGGTGCAGTCGCGGAAGCTCAAGCAGATGCAGAAAGGTCTGAAGAAGATGTTCAAGGACGCCCAGGTACGGCGGCCCAGGGGCAATGCGGCGCCTCGGCCAGGTTCACAGAGAATGCTGTCATATGTGTGCTTTTCATTATCCATGGAAATGTATGTGAATATATGAAATGAATCAAATATACTTCAGATTCAATACATGCAGTTTGGTCCATAACAATGACACAACTTTCACAATTTCAAGGAATTTGAAATTAAGCAATCAAGATGGGACAGAGGTATAGACTTTCACCTTTAATTCAAGGAGTTGAATACATATCGTATCAGCTGTTTGGAATTGTAGCCATTTAATATAATAATTCCCCCCATTTACAGGGGCTCAAAATTAATTGGACAATCTACCAAAATCATAACTGTAATGATAATGTTTAACACTTGGTTGAAGTCCTTTGCAGTCAGTGACACCCTGAGGTCTGGAGCTCATCTCCAAATGCTGGGCTTCCTCCCCAGTCATGCCTCACCAGGCCTTTACTCCAGCTGCTTCTTCGTTGGACTTTCTGCCTTTTGGTTTTGTCTTCAGCAAGTGGAATGCATGATCACTAGGGTTGAGCTCAGGTGACAGACTCTGCCATTGAAGAATATTCCGCTTCTTTGCCATTGAAAGCTCTTGGGTAGCTTTTGCATTCTGTTTTGAGTTTTACTGAGTAGTGCCATCCTATCAGTTTTGCAGAATTTGCTGAATCTCAAAAGATTATATAGCCTTATATACTGAGGAATTCATCCTGGTGCTTCTGTCAGCAGTCATATCGATAAACATTAGTGACCCGGTTTCATTGGCAGCCATGCATGCCATATCATAACACTGCCTCTGCCATGTTTTACAGATGATGTGATAAGCTTTGGACCACATACTGCTTTCATCTGTACAAAGATGTTCTTTCTCCAGACCTGGGCAAGCTTTTTTAGAAAGTCTAATCTGGCCTTCTTGTTGGTTACCAGTGGTTTGCACCTTATGATAAACCCTTTGTATTTACTTTCCTGAAGTCTTCTCTTAATTGTAGACTTTAGCAAAGTGCATTCCTTCTTTTTCAGAAAGTAACAAACTGTCGATTGGGCCACTCCTAATGTGGCTGTTGTCTCTCTGATGGGTTTGGTTTGTACTCTCAGCCAGACATTGACCTGCTTCACTTGTATTGACAGCTCTTTGGCCCTCATACTGAGAGTTCACAGCAACAGCTTCCAAATGCAAATTCAAAGTCCATACCGTTTACCTGTTTAATTGTTAATAATATTATGAGGGAACAGCCCACACCTGGCAATGAAACAGCTTGTTAGTTATCATTTTACTTTTGAGCCCATAGAAATTAGGGGACTATGTACACAAATTGCTGTAAATACGATATTCTTGTTAAACCCCTTGAATTAAAGGTGAAAATTTATGCTTCACATCTTTATTGATCTATTTGAAATCCATTGTGGTGGCATATCAAGCCAAAATTATGAAAATTGTGTCACTGTCCAAATTCTTATGGATGAATGATCCATCCATCCATCCATCCCAAAGGAAACTTCCCGCCGCGTGTCTGTGTGTGAAGATCGCTCCATCACAATGTAAGAGGGGCGTAGTCAGGCCCATCTCGTATTTCTCTCTGGGTCTCTCACTCCATCTCTGTCACTGTCCTGGCTGCATACATATCACCAAGAGGAAGCTCGCTCCCCCCCTACCCCCCTCCCCCCCGGGACTCCCCGTCACCTGACTGACATGCCTGGGCATCCTGGAGTGATCAGTGCCATTACCAGGGCCCAACCCACACAGGTCACATCGCATGAAGGGTTATGCAGTGGGAGGTGAAGAGCTTTTGGATACAGCTGGATGGAGAAGCAGGGAGGAGTCACTTTAAAGCTCAGTTAATGCACCTGCAAGTATCGTGGTGAGGATGACAGGAATAATGTGACGTGAAGAGATCTCCACAGGGGGAAAAAGTGAAAACTCCACACACACACACACACGCACGCACACACACACACACACAGAGCGGAGGCACCATGCAAATCTCTGGAGATGAGCCACCTCTGATATTTACTAGTGATGTAGCTAAATCTGATTGTGTAACCAGTAGCGAAGTCAAAAACTGACACCTAAACCATTTAAAACAATGTGGAAAGGTCATCTGTCACTCGCGGAGACGGGACAGAGTGGAGCGGAGAGGCTAATAAGTTAGCGTGAGAGGGATGGATGGGAGAGCCAGTGCTGAAGTAGTAACGAAATTTCTCTGGCTTAATCTCTGCAGAGCAATGTGTAAATAGTGGGAAGGTATTGTGTTGCATAAGAACAGTGTCATTCTCAGCCATCTGTGACTCGTAGACGAGTCAGATTCAATTGAAAGAAAGCACCGACTTCAGCTCGACCAAATGTAGCAAGTGGATATTTTTACAGCAACAGCACGGCTTTGTAATAATCTCGTCCTTGTAAAGAGGTAATAAATATGCACCCCCCCCCCACTCTCTCTTTAGGGAATAACTTTTGAGGAGGTGGAGAATTTCTTCACATTCCTGAAGAACGTGAATGACGTGGACACGGCGCTGAGCTTCTATCACATGGCTGGTGCCTCTATTGACAAAGGTACCCCCGTTCTTCCCTTCCAGTTGTCCACATTGTTTAATGCCCCCCCCATTTCTTTCTTTCCCTTCATCTTATATTTTCGTGATTCTGTTTTTTTCTCTCCTCCATGTTCCCCAGTAAAGTCTTTTTTTCATCTGCCAGCCATCCCTCTCTCTCCCAGGCCAGTCCTGCTATCAGCCTGTTTAACGTCCAACACTTGGAGTCCCTGCATCCAGCCAGACCTGGCAGGAATCCCAGCACTGGCATTTCATATTCCTCTCTCCATTCTTCTGTCGAAGCATGTGGCGTCACGAATGCCGCATGACCGCGGCGCGGCTCCTGGCTGAAATTCAGCAGCACAGTGCCCCCTGCAGGTCGGCATGGGTACCTGCGTGGCACCGGTCGTACGGCGGTCTCGTTCACACCAACAACTTTCCTGCAATTAACTCGGAGCTGTCGCCTGGCAATTACATTCTATCGATGTTGCCAGTTTCGCTCGAGCCGTTTTAACCAACTGGCCTAATAGGAGAAACACCATCTGTTCCTCCCCATTCTAATGGAGTTTTATATCCGTTCTGCTCATGACATCACCAGTCTTAGCAGCATCCCGTCGCTCTGCCTTCACTTCCTGCCCCGTCTGCCCCTTCCGCCCCTGCCTAGACGTAACTGCAGGTGGTCCCTACATGGCTGATAAACGACCCGTGAATGCTCTGGCTTGTCTCACTGGCCCCGTCGGCACGTCTAAGTCACAAGCTGACCCACAGGTGCTCTGGATGCGTCACCGTCTGCCATGAGCTGCAGAGAGCACCAGCCCCAAATGGCGAAGAGCCCACATTAATACATAGAAAGAGCCCCTGGGCGCCCCCTTGTGTCTCTGACCTGTGTGTGCAGCTTGAACCATGACCTCAGGCTACCCCCGGGGAACAAGTGCGATCACAGCTTCCTTAATAACTGGATTTTTAAGTTCTATTCTAGATGACAAATCCATGTAGCTTGTTTTGTTGGATTAAAAACGCAGGCCTGAAAATATTTCATTTGAACGCACCAGTTGCCAGATAGATTGACTGATAGATTGTCACCAGTGCTATCAGTACAGTAATGAGGCCACGGCGAACAGGCTGCCATCTTAATTGATCTACCTCAAGGCCTTCTGTCAGCTTGTTGTCCTCTGTCGCGCTCTCCTGTCTCTCTAATCCCACCCCTGGGTTTAGCCAATCAATGCTTCTTATGAGAAGATCTGGAGACTTTATCGTCCTGTCAGCTATTTTCTTTTTCTGTTTGACTCTTTTTCGTTGTTTGGGTTGTTTTGACCATAAGGCACTGTCGTTGGGATTGCTCTGTGCCTGGCTCTGGTTCTGGTCCAATCTCTCTCCTTCTCTGCAGCCCAGTCCTTGTTAAGCCCCCCTACCCTACATAATCGATCGGACCGAGCGATCTGCCGGCCCGTGACAGCCAGCATTGGATGTGTCATTCTAGCTGTCCGCTCTTTCATTACCCTGGATGCAGTAACGTGGAGAAACGCTTCATCATCTGTTTTTTTCTGCCCCACCCCATTCACCCCCCAGCCACCATGAAGCAGGTGGCCCGCACGGTGGCCAAAGTGGAGCTGTCCGACCATGTGTGCGACGTCGTCTTCGCTCTCTTCGACTGTGATGGTAAGTCTGCCTACCTTCCCCCCCCCCCCCTTGGCCCCCGCCCTTAGGCAACGGTGAGCTGAGCAACAAGGAGTTCATCGCCATCATGAAGCAGCGGCTGATGCGAGGCCTGGAGAAGCCCAAGGATATGGGCTTTACGCGCCTGGTGCGGGCCATGTGGAAGTGCGCCCAGGACACAGCCTGGGACTTCGCCAGCCAGAAGGCACAGTAGCCCGCTGCGCCGCGGACCGCCAGCAGGGGGCCGATTCTCCAGCCACGTTGGCTCATAGGACTTTGATACTTTAGGGTGAAGTTTTAGGAGGGAGCTGGTTGATGTTTCTTTGACTTTCAGCACATCTGCCACAAGTTGTGTAGAAAGGAAGACAATGAGGGAACTTAAAAGGGGTGGAAAATCCAGGATGTGGTGTGATGGTTTTGGCAGTAAAATAATCAGGCAGCACCGGTCAGGCTCAGCTAAACTGCATTTCAGCCCAGTGTGTAAGTCATCCTTTCCCTTTTTGCCCACCAGTAGGTGTTAAAAATGCTTTACACTAATACACTTCTAGAATGTTTTGCTATACTTGGAACCTTCTTTAAAGCTAATGAGCTTTGAAATGCTGTACATTTGTCTCCTTAAAGTGTGTGTGTGTGTGTGTGTGTATTCCATGACTGATGCGACTGGTTTCTAAGCTTATTTTACATTAATTCCTACCTGATTACGTCTTTGAGGCTGCTGTGCCAACGCCTGGTTATAAATAAACGTTTGAC